GAAATCTACTGGCTCACTGACTTTATTGCACCCCCTCCACCCCCAGCTTCAAGTGAATGAAGTGAGAGAATTCTCCCTTACTTGTCCTCTGTTTCAGAGCACTGCTGCCTGCATTATTATTGACTTTGTAGCCTGTCTCTGTAACTCTGATGCTATCTCACCAGAATGAATGGGCTGCATGTTTCTACTCCCATAACCTCTGTGGTCAGTCTGACTGGGACTCTCTACTCTTCTTTGCAAGGGGAAAAGGTTACTCTTTGCCTTCCTACCCATCCCTTTCTGCTCTGTGCACGAAAGAATAATGAAGTTATTTATGTGCAGCTCATTACAAAAGGTTAAGTCTCTTTCAGATACAGCCATCCTTTTTCCGCTAGCGACCGTCCATCGAGCTGTGATACCTTCATCCAATTTCACGCAGCCCCGACGCTCATGCTTAAATGAATAAAACCATTTCAGAGAGTTGAATTGAAGTTTCAGGCTGAGGCGATGAGGCTGTTGTTTTTGATAAGTAAAGTGCAGATTCTATGGAGTAAGTAAGAAATGTGAGAAAGAAGAAGTCAGTCAGAGTTTGTCACCAGAGCAGTGAAATGGGAGCAGCACAGGGAATAATACATATAAGCAGACTAATAAGTGACACTATACATTTTTAATAAATTAGAAGTATTCATGAGACATTTCTTCTGCAGTAGTAGAGGCATGTTTAATGTTTATATAACTCTGGTAATGTGAACGGGGTGGACAAAATAACGTGAACACCCTGCAGTAAAAAGCACTGCAGTGCAACACCACAGACTTCAGCATGGCAGTCAATGCTTGATCAGAGTTTTAGGTCAGAGTCACCTGACAAGAGTTTTCAATCACATCTCATGATCTACTTGAGGAGAGGATGTGATTTCAGATGTCGACACAGAGGTTAACAACCACTTTCTAGCACCATCTCAGTAAAATCGGTTTAAGCATGCCAAAGGTATCTATACATTGGCTGCTGTATTGGATTGTCCATGATGTTTTGGGAACCCCATGCAGCTGCTGAATTCATGCAGCAAACACTTAATGGCTGTTTTTTTCTCTCTATTAGGAATACGTCAGAAGCAACCTACTGCACACTGCTTTGGCACTTATTATGTGTTATGTAACTGATTTATTGAGCGATAAAGAAATAAATTAGACTCAACAGGCATGAAACACACATAGATGTTTAAACTGTTGTCTGAAGCATATAACCTCCTATTTCACACATTAAAAACCAGCATATGAACCATAACGTTTGCTACTGTTGTCTGTCTGGGCTTAGCTGAGTTGCCTCATGTTGTCAACAGCTGTACGGGTGAGTTTTCATGTCGTGGAAGATGAAGAGAGCAGTGCAGGGGATGACTGCTGTCTCCAGAATACACAGATTAGACTCTGTGTTGCTCCTCTCTGCCCTGTTTACTCTTCACACCTGAGCAAGCATACAAATAAACCTGTGGTGCTGCCTAAGAATGCTCAGTACTCATGATGAATATTTTATTTTTCCTGCAGCTGGCTGAGAAGCTTTTGCAAGGAGTAAAAATCAGCCGATCTCCAGAGACATTTCCTGTGTGTGTGTGTGTGTGTGCATGTACACCAAGGTTGTACTGTACTGTTCGTAAAAGCCCTTGGCTAAAATGGGCAATATTTGGCAGATATAGAAAAAATATGTTCAAAATTGGGCATGTGTGTGCCTCCATCTGTCTAGTAGCTTCAGCTAATTAGTAAAATATTACTTACAATGCCAGCAGTGCATTAATGGAAGGTGTCCGACTTCTTTCTTTGGCTCAGTGTCACCTGGTCAACTCCATTCACCTCAAATGCACTTCAGCACAATCTGCCTCACTCATAGGATATCCCAGCACGATTAATCCATTCTGCAAATAGTCCGAACGGACATATTGTATTTCTGCTGCCCTTTTCTCCTTTTGTATCCTATGAACAAGTAAAGGGGAATTTAAACGTAATATCTTTATCAGAAATTTCAAAATGTTTCTGTAAATGTCACCTTTGAACCTGAAAATCAAAACTGTTTCATTTCACAACTTATCTAGTTCCCACATCAGTTTGCGTAGGTAACCTAATGGGACTTCAGTCTTTCAGTTCATTTTTCAAACTTTACAACATATCATTATCACAAACAGTAGCAGTTGAGGATCAGTCCCCATTCAGTGCCACAGACTAGATATTCAACTCTGAAAGCGTTCAAAAAATACTTCTAGTTCGGTGCTTTACAGGCACATGCTGCCAGTATTGCTAATTATCTTCACAGTTACAAGAAAAATAAACTGGCATAGTTCTGCCACACTGCTCTTAAAGATCCAAATCACTGTGAAACCAGCAAAAAAACACATGAATCACCAAAGCAGTAGTAAAGATGGAAGCTGAAATGAGCAAGGCTGAGTCAAATGACAATGGTGCAACAATCATGTGATTCATTGTTAACACACTTGACATTAAGTCATCAGTGATCTGCAGTGCAAGGAGATGACACGTTTGGCATTTGTTTCAAGCAACACATTACCCACAAATTACACTGACTGCTCCTTTTGACATCTGCCCACATTAAACACCCTTATGAAGCCAATCTCTTGCTGTCTTGCTGCAGCAAAAAACCACAGTTCACACATATCTCCGCTGCAGATCAGAGGCCATTCAGTACGCCCTGCAGAAGGCAAAACAGGCCATGTGTATATTTGACCGAGGCATAAAGCGGTGGCTAAATCTCCGTAAGCAGGCCCTGGCACTGCTCCCCGATTGCCTGCCCGCTGTGTGGGTAGGGGCCTGGAGGGGACTAATCCCTTGGCATGGGCATGACTCACACATGTTGATGTGTGCGTGTGTGTGTGTGTGTGTGTGTGTGTGTGGAAACAGAGGACCCAGGCGACAGGATAAAGACAAAACCTGCTGACTGCTCAGAAAACCTCAACTTCTGACCTGCAACGCCTTCCGTGTTTAACTAGCACCCTTCACACAACGTCTCGGATGTCTGTCAGGGATGACAGGAGGCTTGCCCCACACTGTACCAACAGAGATAGTTCTGGTCTTACATAACCTTGGTCTGCAGAAGATTGTGCCAGTCTGTGGGGCTTTTGACCCTTACATGCTGCTCGGTTTTTTGCTTAAGTGGGCAGCAGTAGTGATGGTACAAAGTTGACATGCTGTTTTAGCCTTGTCAACCTGTGCGTGTAGATGACTGTGAGGGTGCTGCAGCTTTCCTGTCTGTTATCTTGGCAGCTAAGGTGACCTGCAGCAGGCCTGGAGGCAGCATGTGCTCCATAGCCTCAACATGGTTGTGCTCATTGTAAATGCAAGACACGGTTGGACTTGAGTGTCAAAGAAACAGTCTGACATTTTGAGAACAGAACTTATATACTGTCTTGCATAGGGATGATCGGTAACGCTTTTATGTATAAAGCTACAGCCAGCAGCAGGTTAGCTTAGCTTAGCATTAAGACCCAGCTCCCATACTGTATAAAACCTCCTGTAATTCGCCAGTAGTTTTCACACTTCCTGTATATATTCAAACAAACCAACCAAAACAATGCTTTATAATAAGGTGCATTTAAGCTATCAGTAAATATGAAATAAATCCCCCCTCATACAATACACCTTGGAGTCCAGGGAACAGCTGTCTCCAAATATTTCCTACCAGACAAAGTGACAGTTCCAGGTGCTGACAGCCAGGTAAATGGTGCTCAGTGCTCACCTGACATTCACCAGGTTCATGCTGTAGAAGCTGCAGGACTCCTCAGCTGCTCACACTCCGGCAAAGCTGCCAGCTATCCAACACTAATTAAGACTGTAGCTGAGGCCAGAGCTGCTTCCACTCAGCATTATGAGCTGACATACACATCTGATGGCAAATTCATATGACACATGGAAGTGCAGTGATTTATGAAAACAGCTATACTCCCTCATATTACTGAATATACAACACATTTTTATTATAATCGTTTGTTTTATTATGGTCGCTGACTGCAGGATATGTTTTGCCCAAATTTGATTTCTGGCTTAATCATCTCTTGTACCAACTCTGTGTGAAGCATTTTTCCGAGTAGCAAAACCTATAAGTTATGATATCTTGGGGGGGGAAAGAAAGGCCGGGAACGAGAACTGATTTCATGGTTGTGGATTTGGGGGGAGGGCAGGCACTGATGCCCGTGAGCTGGAGGATCTATAACCTCAGTTATTCAGCATGATGTCAAAATGAGGATAGCAGGTGACTTGGAGGCCACTTATTAAAGGGGCTGCGCTCGGGACCAAAAAAAAAGATATTGGACTTGGTGAGATGCGGGATTTCTGTTGCGCTTCTTCTGAGTATCATGAGTGGACTCGCCTCATCCAGTCAACTCCGATCCACACACATAATGTGAAAGATCGCAGGACTGGTGTGATCGATGAGCAGCAACGTGGACGGTGGAGAGAAGAACCAAATCAGATTTTTTTTTTCCCCTGGCTGTTTGCAGCTGCTGAGGAAAGTTAAAGCAGCTCGGTGTCACTGACGGAGGGAAGGCTGCAGATGGAAGCTCACCGAGCTGACGCTTCTCTCTCATCAGCAGCTCTGCTTTTCTCCACTGAGGAGGAATCCATGTGGAAGGGGAGGCGCCCGAGCGAGGCGAGCGGCACGACTGCTGCCCGAATTTAACAATTAACCTTGATGAACACAGATTGGTTTCACTTAACAGCCGCAGGTGCGTGGGGTTTGCGATCCGGCGCAGCTGAGCCATTCCACGTTTATGACTGGACACTGACGCATTTTATGCCAAACACTGAAACTCTACTACGGATTGAGAATATTGCACCTGATTTTTTTTTCTCTCTCTCCACGGGACAGGATGCATATTGCAATGGGAGCCCGTCCGATTGTCAACCTCTTGCAGATTCCGAATTCAGGAGTATCGCTGAATTGATTTGGAGATCTATATCCGAATTTGACCGCCGTGTCATTGCCCAGTTTACCAGTCCCAGCAACTGAAAGGCATCTTCTCAGCGGCGGAGACGAGAAGAGGGAATAAACTGTTTGCTGTACTACTCCCTATCTGCGCACTAGACGGCTTGACATGAGGAGCACATCCCGGTTGTGTTCCGTGTGAAGAGGCAATCGGGGCGGCAGTTTCTTCGGCTCTCAAGGGCGCAAAAAGTGGCCGCCGGCCGAGCTGGGAAGCATGGAGCGGGACGACACCGACACCGTGAGCCCATCCAAAAAGACAATAATTGCGAAGATATTCAAAGTTCGCAAGAGGAGGGAGATGTTATTTGTTCAGGTGTGCTTTATCTGCAGTGTCCTCTTCGTAGCGTGGAGCATGTCAGCGCTGTTGACCAAGACAGGTGAGTGGGGAGGAGGGGAGACCGGGTTCCACCGAGCCGAGGACCGAGCAGAGTGGACCAGAATTCTGCAGTGTGATAATGCAGCCGCACGCACACCAGTTATTTGTTTATTGAGCTACCTCGTATCGATCACATAAACAAACCATCAGGCTTCAATGTCAAGGGCACAGGACCAAAACACAGGATTTTCGAGCAGTAGCGGCTCCGTTTTCTCGTCCAAAATGCGCATGCAGCGCTACTGATAGCCGCTTCCAACCACGTAGGTGAAATGTGCAGTTTGCATTAAAATAGATATGTGCGTTTGCTGTTTGTGGCCCATCACTCTTTAAAAAAATGCCATCTGCACATGTTATCGTCAGGTCACATCATTTTAAAAAATCCCATGCTGGACTTGAGGCAATATATGCGTCTGATTGACTGTAAATGCCGCAGTGTGCGCGCCGTGGCAGCGGCACGTTTTAAAATTGAGAGCCAAGCTCATAATTACACACACGCACACCGCATGCACAAAAAGACCAGGCAGCCGACCGACCCCAGCACGGACGCCGTTTGGTTTTGGTTTGCTTGCTTTATTTTCCACACAAGATTTGGCGCCAGGCTCGTTGTCGGTCACACTACACTAGAGCGCAGGATCGTGGTTAATGCAGGCATCATCGTGTCTGGCCCGGGTCTTCACACACCATTGCACACCCTGGATCACGAGCATCGTCACGCTCTCCGGTTCCGCATGGAGATCGAGGGATGCCGATTTTTACGCAGAGGCCACCGCTGATCATTTAGAGGGGAGGGGTGGGGGGGGTGTAACACCGGGCTGCTTAGACATTGCCACATTCACTGCTAATGAGCGAGGTGTGCGCTGAGCAAACGGTTCAGACGGTTATTGATGCGTGTGATGCCCCCGTGCAGGCGCGCACTCTCTCCACGCAGCGGTCCCTCCCGAGCACACATGTCCAAACTCCTACCGCGGGCTCGTGCTAACACTGACACGCAGAGCATCCCACACAGCCTCACACACAGTTATGTAATCTAAGAGCCAACCTCGACGTTCGGCTGGTGAGAAATGATATCTGACACACCACTGGGATCAGAGGTGAACAAGACAAAACCGTCGCTCAGGATTGTGCGGTTCATGTGAGGAGCAGCCAGACTGTTCGGGCGCAGGATGAATTTTCTGAACATTTTGAGCACTGGCGAGACTTGCTTTTGTATTTAAATCAGTCATTTTTACATGAAAGAAGGGAGGTTTTGTGTTTTTATTTTATTTTTACCCCCTTAAAGTTGTTCTCCACCGACACTTCAGCCTCCCTCCCTCTCTTGGGATCCATCCATTTGCAACCACTCAGGTCCCGCAGCTGTAAATTCACCACAGCTACTGGCTGACTGTATCTCTAAACGGACATATAGGCAGTTTTATTAATTACATTAAAACAACAAGAGGCTTAAAAGATTATTCTGGAATGATATCATACAGGCTATTGCAAATCTCTTATCTCCAAAGGCAGGCCCAAAGTAAGCCCCCCTTGGTCACTAATGGCCGGCTTTTTTTCATTTAATCAAGTTTGCCTGACCCTCGCAGCAGTTGTCACATGAAGGCATTTGACAGAAGCCATTTCTGGTGGGTTTTAGTCTGTTTTGTCAGCAACCGTACTGATGCTACTGGTGGGATTTCAAGGTGACATACATGAGAGGAAAAACAGAAATCCCCTCCGAACCACAAGATCCAAAGCTTACTGTCATCAAATCTGTCTACCTGAAAAGCTGTGGCCTTCTTTTCTTTCAACCATCTCAACAGGAACAAACATTTGTCATGTCACAGTAAAACCTGCTCCCTGTGCTTGCCACCAAATTGATTGATAGTAGCATGGGAGGAGTGATGATAGTCCTGAATGGTAGAGATGGATGGGTTCTGATGTACTACTCCTGGGTTACATCTCCATGAGTAAGGGTGGGGCACGACATGCTGTCATGCATGCTGATCAGGTTGAGTGTGTGTGTGTGTGTGTGAGAGAGAGAGAGAGATGGACGAAGCTCCACATGGGGGATGAGAACAGGTGTTTAGAGAAGCAGGGCAGAGCTCTGACAGGTACTTGCAGCAGGCTGACTGTGATGGCTGAGGGGGATGCAGAGCTTGTTCACAGCATGGGAAGATTGATGCATGGTTGTCCTTGGTCTATCTCCCTCCTGAGCTGATTGAACTAAGGTGGAGGATGACATTTTCACTGTGGTATTATAGCCGGCCCACTCTTTGTCCCTCTGCTGCTCAAGATAATCAGCTTGAAGTGTAAATACAGCTTTGTTTTTTTCAGTCCTTTTTTAGCTCTTTATTTAGTTTCCGCTCCAAAGAGTTTGAGTAGCTTTTTCAAATGTTTATTATTGTGCAGGTATTAGAATGCATTTATTTCTTTATTTTTTTTACACCATGTGTCTACCAAACAGTTTAACTTATACAGCTTGACAGATCCGACCCAAACTATATGCCGGTTGCTTGTCGTAATACAACTAACAGGAGGATATCAGTGACAGAAGATATGTCACACATGAAGTGCTAACAATTGATGTCGAAGAAAATAAATGACAAACATATCATGATGTAACAGTGAGGTGAGGGTTTTGTTAGGTTTGGAAACAAAAACAACCTGGTTAATTATACAGGAACTAAACTCAGCAGATGTTCACTTTTTACACTATCTTTGTGTTACTGTTTCCAAAATCCTCTTTGTTCCTGGAACCAACAACAACAACTTCCCAAGCAGCGACCTGTATAGGCTCACAGTGCCATGCTTTGCAGAGGATTTAGATCAAGCAAAAAGGCACGGCAATTTTTTTAACGTTTTTTTTTGGCCATAGTAACGGTGATTAACATGAGTAAGTATTGTCATGATTAATACAAACAACACACTATGTGTTTGAAACTAGAAGTGATGGGTCATTGTACTGACCCATCCATCCACTCTGAACTCATCCTCACATGGGCTTTGTCACATTAAAACATCAGCTAGTGTTGTCCTTCACTCCCTCTTAATTACTAGTGCCTCTAGAGGGCTTTAAATGTATGTATGTTGTGGGACATTTGCTGAAACAACTGATGTAGTTTGAGTGGAGGTCACCTGAAGATGAATTGAAATAATGGGTTGTAATAGCACAACCAGTGGGGTTGTTTTTGGTGGACAGTTGTGTTGGGAAAGGTATTTAGACAGGGCAGTGAGACATACCTATGGTGACTCTACATCAAATGAAGCATCACGATACTGAAATAATACATTTTTAACAACAATGTGCTTTTAACATCTTTAAAAACCAAAACAAGCAAATTCAGTGTACAATCCCTCCCCTTTAATGGCAGTCTATATTAAATACTGAAAGCTTGACAGCTGCCCATGCATTTGTTTCCTGATTTTCCCTTTTTATATGAAAAATATTACCATTTTGGCTAGTTGTGGTTCTATCGTAAGTAAACATTTGATTTCAGCCCCTTCTTTCAATGTTAGCAGAGGTCAAGATGTCAGCGTATAACAAGTGACTAAAAGAGATTAACAGTTTAAAAACTAGCTTAAACATATAATTGACTGTCAAAATAGTTCATTCCAAATTTTCTGGTGATTAATCAATTAACGGACTACTCACAGTGCTAGTGTTGAAATCTTTAAGCAACTCATACAACAGACATCTTGACTCCTACTAACATGGAAAGAAGAAGCTGAAATTAAATGTTAATTTAGTGTTGCACCAAAACTAATCACTACCCTTTAATGATGATAATCTTTTTAATGTGAAGTTGTAAAATGTCAAAATGAATACCAAATTTGTCTCACAGCTGCCCACACTTTTTCCAGGGGTCCCTGCAACGTGTTGTTTTTATGTGTTAAATTAATAAAATGGTTAATAAATGATGTCAGATCCAGATCACAGCAAAGATAAATCGGGTGGTTAGTGGCTCACTTCTCTGTCCAGAAAAAAGAAAAAAACACCAGAAAATCTTTGGAATATATGAGATTTGAGACAGGCTTGCATGGATTAGTCAGGGTTAAAAGCAGCCTTCAAGATCTCATAACATCAAAAACATGAACATTTGAAGTTGAACTGAAGACAATTAATTAAAACATGTAAACTGGCCTGGAGAAGAAAGCAGATGTAGCATGAGCCAGCAGCGTCATGGCCACAGCGGACTGCAGTTCTTATTTTACCCCCAGCCTGCCTAGAAGTACTGACAGAATTACGTCTTCATTGTTTTTCCTTTCAGATGCTTGGCAGCAAGAGTGCAGTGTGCTGAACAGCTCATGTGTGTACAGGCAGCCATTCTGCCCTGTGGAGGCTTCCAGGAGATGGTGCAGATTTTGTGTTTTCTAAACTGGAGATTTGATAGTTGTGATCAAGTGATTCCACACATAGTTGGCTCTGCAATTGCATTTAGATGGACTGTTGTGCACAATTTTTCCTTAAAAAAAATTTTGTGATTCAGTAGGTCTAATAGAGTTTGTGTAAACGTGAAAAATTCAGCTCTCGTGGCCTACTCAGTGTTCTATTATTGCTTTGACAAAAGTGAGCTTACCAAAAACCACCTGTTTGGCACACAGCATCCACATGTTGTGTAAAAACGGGCCTTTATTCTTTCTCTATTGACATGAAATTGGACAGCATTTTATGGTGAGGCTTGCTTGAATAAAAAGGGGAGGACCAGAGGCAGTGGAGACGTGAAAGTGAACTGGTTAGTAGGAAGGAACAGGTTGGAATGATGACTGGAGGGTTTTGTTTTTTGGACTGAAGAACTGTGGTAAATGGTTGTGGACACCTTTTGTACAATCTGTTTCTCCAGCACCTGCTGATCTCCAGGCTGTCTAACTATGCTGGACTGAAAGCTGTGAATTGAAAATATGTGTGCAAATTTGGGCGAGGTAGAGGATTTTGGAAAAGCATCAACTGAAAGTTGGTAGATTAGGAAATGAGTGACAAGATCTAACATGGGTCACTCTTGGTAGAGACCAAAACTTGAGCTAAATGCAGTGAACAGTGAAAATTAATTCACTGAATGGTGAGAGATATATCACAAGATGAATAGTTGTTGACTCCAGTGTCATCCAACAGCTTTTAAAGCTCATGTGATGTATGTGTTGTTTATAGCTTATTCCACTGTCCTCAAGTGGCCAATTCAATTGTGAATCAAATTGTGTTCAGTTCTTATTGCCTTAAATTTGACCAAACAATGTACTGACTGCGACATTGTGCATTTTATAAAAATGTATTTTGCTTTAATCTGGAGCCAAAGAAAAGCCTATTGACATGCAGCTGTTTAAATCCATTATTTCACAAGTCCTTTTTGAAGCAGAAATGTTACATTCTGTAGGTCAACCTTTTACAACATATGGACTTTCAGGTTTTCTTTGTTCCATGTTTTAGGGTTTGACTAAATGGAAATGCTGATGACGTAACCTTTGGCATTACGAAAATGACTTGTATAGCAAGAAACAATTATTGAGAAAATACTGAACAAAAAATAATGCAGCATTTTATCAAATTCTTTCTGTTCTTTTAACGTAGGAGAATAGGTTCTTGTTGTTCCAACACACAGAATCTCTACAACAGCGTGAACATCATAAAACATCTGATTATGACTATATTGGATGATAAGGATAATGAGTAGATGGAAAGTGGGGGTCATAGAACAGAAATCACAAGTCAGTAAAGAGTCAAACATCTGAGCTGCAGCGTTAATGAGCTTGTTGATGCTGGATGCTCGAGTGTTGTCCCATTCTTCCGGAAGGCCTGAGCGAACCTGGTGGATATTTTGGAAGACATTATCGCGTTGTCAGACTTGTCGATTCAGAGCTGTCTGAAATGATATCTTGGACAAAAACAGTGGACGTTCAAATCCCTTGTTTCGTACCTAATGGACATACCAGCATGCAGCATGCCAAGAGCCTATTCTTGTCTTTATCTTGTCATCTGTGGCATCATGTCATATGCATTTTATTAGTTCTGGTCAAAGGAATGTGTGTGTAATGATCACTGTCCCTGATCATTGTCCTTTGAAGCCACATCAGATGAGGCTGTGGATTAACTCAGTGGTCAAGAACTTGTCAACAGCTCAGAAAGTCAGAAAAAGAGCATTTGCATGAGGTGTTTAAACATATGATTCAAATTGTTGGTTGCAGACCTACATCAGACATTCAGCATTTATGTGCTAATACTTGTTATCAGCTGGAAATGAATAGACAGCCTGTATATGAATTAAACACAGACCATCACTTAAAGTATTCCCTAGTGATCAGCTCATAATTGTATATGCAGCAATACAGTTCAATCATCCTGTAGTAAGATACGGCTTCCTCAGTTTCACATTGCCTGGATGTGGTAACACTTTACAAAAACTGCATTTCAAGGACTGTTCAGCTCGTCAGGATGATTTTACATAATAGATTTGGGACTGCAGTTTTTTTTTTCTGTCATTAAAGAGGCTTAAGAGCAGTTTAATGAAAAAAATAAAACTCCCACCCCAAAAACATAATGGCACAGCTGCATTTTGATGTGTTATTGCTGCCGCTGGATGAAAATGTCATATCTACATAGACAAGAACTTTTAAGGGATTAAAAAGAAGCAACCTTGTTTGGAATAATGTGTGATTTTCAACATAGATGTTTCAGGACATGAAACCTTCACAGTGAGACAGCAGCCATGTTAGTTTTGATCGCTTTTCTAAACTATGCAAAAAGGAGTTTCTAGGGTTTCTCTGCAGTAAAAGTAAAGGCTTTGAGAATGAGCCTCTAACATTATGTGCTGTAGGTTTGGTGACGAGCTTAAATGCTGCATTTATGTTCATGTTTGATCATCAAAGCTGTTCTGTTCTGTTTCAGGCCACGGGATGATAGTGGAGGGACATCCAGACCTTGAACACTGGGGGAGAAGGCTGATGGCTTCAGTACCAGAAAACAAAACGGAGGAGAAGAACTGTTCAGAGCCAGGTATGCTACTCTGAATGAAAGCGGCCCCTAATCAAGATTTGTGTGTGTAATAACTTCACTGTTTTGTTCAACTTCCCTGGACAGAGCTGGAAACATAGAAAACCTAAAACCATGAAAAAAAAAAAAAAACAACCAAATAGTGATATTTCTCGCAGGAGTTGTTGGACACAAAAACAAACGCACTTCTTGCAACTTGTCTGCTGGATTTGTTAATGGACAACTTTTGGCTAAACGCCTTTACTGTCCTAAGGTGATGTCAGTATTGATAAGACCTTGTTCCACTGCCCCTAAATGGCAAAAAACCAACCAAAAAACAAAAAGCTAAATGTGTAATTTTAAATTTTTTGCCAACTATATTGTTTATGTCAAGATCACCTCGACATGTCAAGCCCAACAGGTCATTTGACAAACAGTAACGCTGGAAATTGTGTTCTCTAAATATGAAATTTAGATTCTCAACAGATTGATGATTGTGGCCTTGAAATCAAGAAATTATATGGGGTATAAGTCATGTTATTTAAAAATAAATCGGTGCACATATGTAATTGAAATCTAAATAGCTGAGATTCTAGAGAAAAATAAAAAAAATATATATCAAAAAATCATTACTAAAATGTCAAAGGGTTGTGGTGTTTGTAAGCTCATATGCTGTTTTAATTCAACTTTCTATTCGGTGTATGTTGTTCCAGCTCAGTTCAGATCACTTGTACTCTAATAAACCACAAAAGTGCTATTAAAAGGTCAGATATTGATTATGTTTCAACAGCTTTGGTACACAGACAGGAAACGGCATTCTCTATAATGAATTATACTGGACCGCATGTGGAAATCTTCACTGGCTACTTAGAACACTGACTGGTTTTTACACTACGAGCAGTGGTAGCAATGGAAAAAAATACATTAAAAAGCCCTGTTAGTTGTCTGTATATTTGATCTATGTGTCATCTCCATTGCCTCACTCTGACTTGTTTTTACAAACCCTGGCTCACATGAGCTTTCTATGATCCTGTGTGAGTCAGTGGGAAGAGAATGGCATTAAAGCTGCCAGGGTTAGACGTTTCGTCCTATTTGGCCAGTTCTTATTAAATATAACAATACCAACTGGTTGCACAAAATGCAGGGGTTGCTAACTTCTAAATCATAAGTCACGATGTTGAATTGTAGGTGGAAAGGAAACCTGGTGAAGAAGATCTAATCCCTGACAATTATTGTTTTGCTACATACGATGCATCTTCACACTGGCATTTGTTTTATTGTGTATTTCACTACAACACAGAGGATGACCCCAGGGCACAGACAATTTGGAAGTAATTTGAAGTGTTAAATGTAGTCTTTACTGTGCCTCATCACATCTGACTCAGTGAGGACTCCCAGACTATTACTTCATTAGTGGTCACAGCAGGCAGAATCACTCAGGGATTCGTAGAATCATCCGCATTATAACCTGCTATTTTATATGTAAACAAGCAAAGCAAACATTTTTATACCACTTACAGTGCACTGCTTGTTATTGTGGCCACTTAGATTGATGCTTTTTAAAAACGGAGTTTAATAGAACAAAACGGTGTGCTGGAAGTTTTACTGCTAATCCTTCAGAATTGCCTTTTCTCAACTGAAATGTCTTTCACACCGGAGGCATCATACTGGACTAGACATTCCACACATTTCTTATTGGCTCAAGTCTTCCCTCCTGTTATCCCACTGCTGACCTGCCTCATCAGTGTAAGCCGATCACATGACTGTTCTTTGGCCTTGGTCTTGTGAATAACCATGTCATAGTTGTAGACTTCAGACCACCTCAGCTGACAGGTTGGTCTGATTTGGCTCGTTGTGAGCAGTAAATGTGTTTCTGAACGTAGCTGTGCAAGACGATCCTTTAGTATGATTTTCAGGGGGTCTTAAGTTACTCTTATTGGACTTGGTACTTTTATTTTTATGCCATGCTGCATGTCCTCCCCAAATAATTCAGTCTTTGTTCACAAAACAAAGTGGACATATCAGGGCAAATCCTTGTGGGTTGTTGTGTTGGTGGGCTGGTTCATCTTCAGAAAAATCCGTAATGTTTTACAGGCCCTATCTGTCTCTTTGCCAGTCATCTCTGTTTGCCTGTCATTCAGGGTGCACGAGTCTGTTATTGTACATATGCAATCAACTCTCACCAACCAGATCCTGCTCCCATCCGAGGCCAGTTGCTGCAAATATGTCCAGTTTTTCATAAATGCAGATATTCCAAAGAGTTCACTGACTTATTGTTGCCAATGTTTTTACGGGACAACCATAGGTTTCTGAAAAACTGAAGAAGTCAATGAAAGGCCTCTAGACCTTTATAATCAGCGCAAGTCTACTGAACAATATGGCTGTTTTCAAGCAGTATAGGTAAAACTGTATAGTTTTAAATACAGCTGTTTTTTTCTGCAGTTAACTTGGTTATGTTGCACTGTTTGGTTAAATAATTTCTAATGAAAAAATCTCTTCAGGGTGGTCTCCCTGAAGAGATTTTGGTTGCTCTCGTACTGGGCAGGATTGCTGTTGGAACAGCACATCATCAGTGGGGTAAAACTAACCTGTCTCACGACGGTCTAAACCCAGCTCACGTTCCCTATTAGTGGGTGAACAATCCAACGCTTGGTGAATTCTGCTTCACAATGATAGGAAGAGCCGACACTGAAGAATCTAAAGCGACGGTGCTAAGTATGACTCAGACTCACTGTGAATGGTGTACTTAGAAAATGACAAATATTCTTGGATGACAGACTTGTCTAAATGTGTGAATTGCATTCTGGTTCTTGGACAAGAACATTGTCTTTTAGTGGAATTTTTCATCATGTTTTAACTATTCTGACACCAAGTGACGTGTTTGTATCACAAATAAGTGCATTTGTCCTGGTTCCCTGTGCAGCTCTTTGTCCAGTGCTGGCACTCAGTAGCGGACCAGTGGTAGCACCAAGGAAAAGCTCTAACTGTGGATGGAACCAGGCTCAGCTGGATGACAGTAATTATTGGAAGCTTCATGCTGAGTGTATACAACATCTGAAGCTCCATTTTCATTAGGTGTCTGTTTGTGGGCTGCATACATTACACTCGGCTAGCTTTGGTCTCTGCCTTTTCCCTCATCATTATTCCTGTGATCAGTGAGGGAGTCCTTTTCTGGGTTCGTGGAGTGCTAATGTTGTTTTGTTGACCTGAGACTTTTGCTGTTCAGGCACCCATTCATCCCAAGTGCCTCCTTTATTGGCCAGTCAATAGCAACTCCTGGACGGTGCTGGTGCAATGTACCGTCCAAGCTGCTTTCTGTGGTCTTGCTTGATTACAAAGCACGCTTCCAATCTACAAATTACACTCTAAGTGGCTGATACAACATCTGAATACTGTTTAGTTAGCTATCACATGCAGACCTTGAGTCACATCAGCCCATACCATGTCTCCCTGTCGCAGTCCCATGACAAATGGAACAAATGCACTCTTATTTGTCACCTAAATGTGGAAACTTGTGAGTCTGGAACAAAGGTAATGGCTGTTTTTTTATTATTCTGCTAATACCATTTATTGAAAGCTTCCACTTGAGTGGCATAATTGTCCCAGTAAAAGCAGATGGAACCAAAAACGGAAAAGGGGAACAACAAAGCAAAGGGATAAGAATGGCCTGGATTGTACTATGAGTTAATAGTTGTTTAATCTGCTCATGGGTAGGGGGGTGTACATGTCTCATGTTAGTCATGAGAATTAGTTTGGAAGAGCAGGAGCTCTAGCCTGAAGAGAGAGTGGCATTCCTCTGCTGCGGCTTTGATTTGAAATAGATATTTGTTAGTGAGTAGAGTCTGAGTTCTGCTTTAGGGCAAACAAAAGACAGGATCTGAGGTTTTTTTTTTTTTTTTTTGGGGGGGGGGGGGGGGGAAATTTGCCCGCCAACATGATTGTGTAAAACTGGCAGTGGAGAGCAGGTCGTCCATGTTGGACTGCAGGTTTGTCAACTCCAGGGAAACACCAGAAGGAGGCTTTTTAAAAGGGAATTACACAAGCAGGGATTATGCTGCTGTGCATAATGGAAACTGACCTCACTTTGCTTCTCGCTTGCATGCCAACGATGAAACAATGCAGCGCAGAGGGCAGTGCAGGCACGAGCACCTGCACAGCATTTTCCTGTGCTGCGCAGTTTAAACATGCGTGACCTCCTTTATGCATTTATCCACTCAGTTTGTTTTGCATTAGAGTTGCTGTATTTTGTTACTCATGAATTGATTTTTAAAAGTTTTTAGAGACAGCGTGTCACACTTTATTAGAACTGAGGCATAAGATAATAATTTGGCTGGTTTTGAGGCAGAAGGTGCTCAGTTCTCTTTGTTGGAAGATCATACTTCATCCTGTACACAGCTGAATGCATATGCTTCACAGTAGTTTCCCCTTTAGGTTACTGAACCAGGCATCTTTTTAGCCACCAACGGCTTGATTACTCACACATGGTCACATAAAGGCTGATGGGAATCCACGCTTAAAACAGAAGTGTAATAGGTATGCGAGTGTGTTCATGCAACTGAAATCGCATGTGTTAAAGTGCTTACAGGAGCATGTGAGAGCACTTGTACATGTGATGTTTGAGCATGTGAAAGTATTGAGCTAACAAGAGGATAATCATGTGTTTTGGGTAACCAAGCCCCTGCACTCTTCATAACTTCTTGTTTCTGGAAATTTTCCCATAAGTGGGCTTGTGGTGAAGTCATCCTGTTTACAAGAATGGTCGTCTGTTGCAGTCAAATCATGCTGCTCACTGATGTCTTCTGGAGCACACTAATTATCTAATGGGCTAATAATGACCCAGAGGAATCATTCTCCTCTGAAGAGTCAATTGTCTTCACTTAATGACCTGGTTGGTCTGTGGGTTGGTGCCCAGCTGCAGCAGAAGGTAGTACCAGGCACTCTGCCCATCTTGGTCACGTCACATTTTTATTTGGTTGTATAATATGTAAAGGAGTTGTTTTTTCCAATCAGACTTTTTTAGCTTCATCAGTCATAGGCCACAGATAAGAATATGAAAACAGACTTTGGCATGTTTCCATTTCAGTCTGTGTAACTATAAGGTTTATCGCTCAGGTCAATACAGCAGGGGTGTTGGTGAAGACTGTCCTGCCACTCATTCTCTCTCTGGGAAAACAGAAGGCACTCGATACCAAGCTGTATTATGTAACAGCACCGTGATATCTGGAATATGACCAAATTATAGAATATTTGCAGAAAGGTAAAGACTATCATGCTCTGCCGTTAAATGTAATTTGTTTGAGAGGATTTTTGACTGAGACTTATAACTGTTGAAAGTAACCCATCTATAAACATAAATACTTTTGACTTCATCAGGTTTTTTAATTCACTGAACTTTTAATTGTTTTGTGTAGCAGAGCCGAAACAAATCAAATGATAGAGCTTGTTTGTTTATATGTAATAAAACCAGTGATCAGGTGAAATTAGGTTGGGGTAGAGAGCAAGTCTGAGCCTTACAGTTCTTGTTTTAGAAAAGGACGGCCCTCACAACAGTTTTTTTTCTTTCTTGGAACCCTTTACTTAGAACAAATACCAACCCCTCTCTAAATGTCTCAAAATATTATATTTCATCCTATTTAATTAAATAAATCAATACATTTTTTACATAGCTGCCAATTGTGCAGGAAAAATATTTACAAATGCAAGTTAATGAAAAAATGGAGAATCCTATCGTTTTTTTTGTTTTTTGTTTTAAAAAAAAAAAAAGGCATAAGCTGTCACCACCAATGTGTGGCCTATAGCCACTAAACATATTATTTGCCACTTTCATATGACAAATTTTAGGTTTTTATACTTAAAAAACGAGTGTCTGCTAGTAGAGATGCAATTAAATCATTTACATCTATTTATTGTCTTCTGAGTTTAAAAAAAAAAAAAAACTGATATCAGCATATGTGGTGTAGTTGAGTGTAAGAGCCACATATGAAGTGAGTTTTTTGTGCTGTCTCTCAATGCATGTCAATAAATGCTCTCAATACTTACAATAGTCGTGTGAACGCTGGGTGGACTTGTAAATTACTTCTTGGGTTCATATGATGAGAAGGAGGTAACTGTAGTTTTGGCTGATGAACAAAAATGTTGCCTGTAATTTCTTGCATAAGCAGCACAGTCAAGTGTCCAAACAAGGTTTATTTATAGATTTGTTGCTTCGCTTTTGAAGACAGCTTTTTTTTTTCTTTTTTTGCCTCCTGCCTGCATTTCCAGTCCAGAGGTCGCCTCATTCACTTAAAAAAAAAAAAAAAGAAAAAAAAGTCCCATACAAACACAAGAACAGCAGGATAGAGTCCTGCTTTAGTTGTCTTTTCACAATTGTGCAATCACAAAACCTTTGTGCAGCACAGAAGATTATTTTCTGAAAGCAGGTTGCCTTGTGAAAAATATATTAAGTGTTTACCTGAAGATTTAGAAGTTCAGGCCTGGGTCAAAGCAGGCAGATGTCATTTGGTTCAAGATTCCAGATATGTAGATATTTAGACTCAGTGCAGGAAAAAGGAAAAAAATAGCAACTTATCTGTTTAGGTTAAGCATGACAAGTGTTATAAGTCAGTACCTGAAACAAAATTCCAAAAATTAAGTATTCAGTATGTGGTTGTTTTATTTTTCACTATTTACTATAAACAGAAAACAAATGCAACTATTTTGGTGAGGTTTCTTTGACTTATGTAATGATGATGTTTGAATTAATGGATGGGCAAATCGAGCAATTCAACATGGTAACCCAAAAACTGACGGACAGTCTTCTAAACGGACGTTTTTACGAACCAAATAATTAATCAAGAATGTAACTGGCCAATTTATGTTGTTAGTTGCAACTCTTAACAATTTACATTCATTGATATTATTGATGAATCACTGGAATAATTTGAGAGTAAACACACCGTAGACTGTTTTTCTGCGGTATACATTAGCACTTTGCTGGGTCCACTTTATCCATTCAGTTTCTGTAAATAGGAAACTTGATTTATCTGCGGTAAATATTATTTATCATTCTATTTATGTACCTCATTTGAGATGCTTCACTGAAGCAATCTGTCCGTTATTGCTCTGTTGTGTGTACATCCTGTCCTGTTCTTTTGTGGGAATTGGCTGTGGAAGCATGTTCATGTCCGGTTCGACCTCTACTGTGAGGAGACACAGATGAACCCTGCAGACGCTGTCTGCTTGAATGTTTACAGGGACTGGAAGGTGCCCACTGCCTACCTGTCATCGCTCTGCTGGCCCAGTGCTGGCGCCCTTTAAGCACCTTTTGTGATCACCTATTTTTAACACTGTCAGCTAGACCCGATTTTTATACAGTGCAAAGGACAGACCAAGTAACTAAAGAACTTGGATAGCTATGGCATTTAATTATTGATTAATGGAAGACCTGCAGTGCTGTTAACTGAAGATGAAAGTAGGAGGTGAAAAGGCTTGGACGGCAGGAAATTCACACCTGATACTTTTCCCATGTTTTTCCAGAAGTGTGACGCCTAACCTTTCACAGCGAGAGTAATGTATGTTTGTGAGATGTTGGTGTCATGAGGTATCAGGAGTTTAGCTCTCTGTATTGGCATCAGTTTGTTTTCGATCACCTCTGAGGGGACAGCTGACAAATTGTGTAATTGACTGCATCTTTGCTTGAGGCCGTCAGCTTTCTGAAATGTTTCATTCAGCACATAAACCTGTCAAATGAAATAAGCTAAAGCTGCCTGCCACAGTCAATGTTGCTGTAACATTTCAATGTCATCAAGGTTTTCAGTTTCTCATTACACATAAAGGTCATAGTCTGTACTACTCATATATTGCTATAACTTTCTGTTATTCTGTCCTCTAATCCATTTTGTGTCATATAGGCAGAAAGCACTGTACTTTCTTTGTGCCATGCTTCTTGACTTTGTTAAAAGATGACGTGAGATGACATATGGTGATACAAAGTGTTCCCCATTTTCACTCATGTGATGTAATTAAATGAAATCCATGAGGCATGCAGCTGATTAAGTGATCTTGGACTACATCCTGTGGAGTATTTGATTTGCCTGCACAGAGTTTTAAACGCTGCGCTGTCTAAGTCATGTGTGTGCACAATGAAATGTCATAAAAACCAACAGCGGTGAGGACAGATGTGACTAGGACCCAAATCTTATCTTTATTTTCTGTAGTAAACAACATTGTTCTACTCTCTGACTGCAGCATTTTGCTCTAATGTTACTTGTGAATCTGAATTATTACTTTTTTCATCGTATCATAGAAAGTGGAACATTGCAGTCTCATCGCTTTTGTTTTATCGTTCTAGTGGCATGGCTGTGGTGAGTTCAGTTGGTTAGTTGGTCCTCCACTGTGGTCCAGACTGAAATATCTTGCCATGAGGTTTTGTATGGTCCTCAGAGGATGACTCCTGACCTCAGTGTTCCTTGAGTTGTCTCCAGTGTCACTAGTAACTCAGTTTTCTCTTATCAAGAGCACTATCTATAGCTTTACAGAAACAACTGGTCTGAAGTTCAGGTTTGTGGTACAAAACATTGCACAGGCTGGTATGTACATTCATGCTTTGCTCAGAAGGACCTGTAATCACAGAGGTGAGCCTTTTATCTTGTACCACCATCAAACATCTGCATGGTTTAGTGCTAGGTGACAAATTTTAGCCTTCTAACACACTAAAAATGCACTGCGCTAGCTTAGTAGAGCGTCACAGAGCTGCTAGCATGGCCGACGATTCTTTAGCCTGCGTGAAGTAGAAATCTAACTGTAGTTCAGATATTTCTGTAAGTAGAAGTATATACTAGAAATGCTGCAGGCCTGTCAAAACGGGAGGTGAGATGTGAGCCTGCAGCTTAGGTCCAACAGGAACAAGTAGGACAGAGGCCGCTCCCCACAGATGTTGGTTGTCGTCATGGAGACGTCCAGCTTCTGCCTCCATCCAGGTGCATCATAGAGTAGCTGTGCTCTGAGAGATCTGAGCCGTATGGTTGTACCATGATCATACTGCATTCCAGCTGGAGCTCCGGATGATGGATAATGAGCCCTCAGCATGGGCGACTTTTCTGCCTGCTTGCTTTAATTCTGCATGACTTCAGGCTCTTAATATAGCCTGAGCTTTTTACATCAGTTTTGAGGAGATGTGATGGTTGACTGTTCTTGTTCTTTTTTTTCTCTTGCACAGGTATGAAGTCATCGGTGGCTCAGTGATGTGACATACGGCAGTTTAGGAGTATTTGAAAAACATTTTGAGCCATTTCAGTTCCTTAGAGAATTCAAAGCCCTTGTATTTCTGATTTTTTTAAAAACATTTTTTTTTTAGATGATTATCACTGGCTGCTGTTCAGTTTGCATTTGATCTGGTTGTGGTGTGCAGCTTTTAGGTATACTAGACATTTTTGCTGTGTTAGTTAATCAAGTGGAAAGCGATGGAAGAGAAATGACAGCACCACAGTCATTCAGTGTAAGCCTACTGGACTGACAGGGATCCCCAGGCCTGTGCCTCCAAGACCGATACCCATCATGAAGTCACACAGTCCTCTCAGGGTGGGGCGGGGACACGTACCTCGCAGTCATGCTGCTGATGTGTGGTGACCGTGACATTTCCTCTCTCCTCAGCAATACACGAGTTCCCTGATGACCTTTTCACCAACAATGAACGAAAGAGTGGAGCCATTCTGTTGCACATTGTGGCGGTAAGAGTGTGTGTGTGTCTCTGTGTCCCTGTCTCAGATTGTAAAATAGTCACACGATCTTTTAACTTCTCTAGTGATGAAACGCATGATTAGATTAAAATCAGAATACACCCATTTTCATGCGAAGATAATTCTATTTATTTTCAAACTGAGACACAGTTGATCATGTATTTACTGAGGACAATACAAGGGGGAGGAACAAGAGGATAACGGAAATAAATTAGAATTTTGGATCATAAAATAAAACGGAATGTAACTCAAGCATTTTTTCCTTTGCTGTTGTACATAGTACAACATGATGATGTGTCTTTCCTAATTATTTGTCTATTTTCAATGTCGGTTCATAACTTGTACAGGGAGCAAGAAGACAAATCAGTACAGACATAGTGTGATACTGTACACACCAACTGCAAGTGAAAGGAATACAACAAAATCTAAGTTGCACATTCACATTTTCTAGGCCTTATAAGAAATAAAAAAATGCTTGCTGGCTCAACAGAATGTGACATAACTTAAGATTAACTTTGTTATTGTGTATAGATCAGTCTCTATCTTGGAAGGTGTTGAATGCACTGTAACAACTGAGCAACTATAAAAAGGCCCTTATTTTATTTTACAGCTCTGTGTGTCATAAAACTGTCTCTCACTGGAGATCTTCTGCTCAAAAGTGTGTGTAGTAAGCTTCATCAATATGATAGTAGTGTTTTTAGTCCCAGTTTAGATGTTGGCATGATTCACAAGAGTGAATCTGAAACCTTTTTAATGGGTTTGATCTTCTTCTCCATGGTAGAAACTATTTTTGTCTACCTCCAGTCATTTGAAGCTCCACTGACTTGACATAAAGACATAAGCCACCTGTGACTTTCAAAGCTTATTCGCCATTGTTTATTTTAATGCATCTGTAAATGAACACTTAATGCTGGATTTAACTTGCTTTACAAAGTGTTTTATTTTTTTCCTCAAACCCATCCAGGACTGCAGTCGGTTCTTTTAAATGTTGTCAATGTAGACGTGTCGGGTCACAAAAATGCTGCATTAAGCTTATAATACACTTAATGCCATCAGTTGCAGCTCTGACCCTCGCTGGATATTTTTTTATTGGCGAAGCTTTGAGGTGTGATAAGTTTTAAACTGGGATTTGCATTGCAGTCCAGTCAACTGCACCTACAGCTCTCTAGCTTGATGATCCACTTTGAAATCTAACTTAATATTGTCCTGACTTTACTGTTGGCAAGGGGATAAAAATGTGTGAAGGGCCTGTTGATGCTGCAGTCCTGCACTGCCCCCTGTGGATAGCATAGAGCAGAGCATGCCTGCCAGAGCTGGGCCCTGATGTTGTCACACCTGATCTATAATTTATAGATCTTGCTTCAGCTGCTGAAATAGGCTGCCTCCCGCCCCCCTCCTCTAATAGCGGCAAGAGAATGTAGATTCTGTAGATATTTTACATTGCAAAGGAAAACGGCTTGTCGCTGAACTCAGTTAAATTTAATGTGGTTTCAGTTTGTGTGCTTCTTCTTTACCCGTCCTTTAGCGGGAGAATATTTTCCGCAGCCAAGGTTCTATTAATTCAGCTAATTTCTGCTGATTTGAGGTGTATCTGTACGGACACATTTCCACTTGTATTCTTGAATCTGTCTTCTCCTTGTCACACATGCACTCTTCAACTAACTGCTGATTCTGCTTGTAGACACTCTACATGTTTCTGGCCCTCGCCATAACATGCGACGAATACTTTGTTACATCGCTGGAGAAAGTTTGTGAGGTACAGAGTTGTAGTCTTATCCTTTCAGGTCACACTTTCACGATTTTGGTTTGTCCATGTAAACCAAACATCTCCTGCTTTTTTTTCCCCCCGTAGAAACTAGATCTGAGTGAAGATGTTGCAGGAGCTACCTTCATGGCAGCTGGCAGTTCTGCACCAGAGCTTTTTGCATCTGTCATTGGTACACACCACACACACACACACACACACACACAGGTTGTATACACACAGACATTCCCAGATGGTTGGTGTCACCACTGATTCTGACTGGCTGCCTCCTTGTGTGCAGGTGTCTTCATCACCCACGGTGATGTGGGGGTGGGGACCATCGTTGGCTCAGCGGTCTTCAACATCCTATGCATCATTGGTGTCTGTGGCATCTTTGCAGGACAGGTGTGTGTGTGTGTTCGAGAGAGGGAGTGACTTACTGCTACAGCTGCATCATTCTGCTACACATGTGCTGCTCTATAAATAAACAGAAGTTTTTTGCTGAGGGGAAACAAAGCCATCTGCTTCAGTTAGTTTTCTCAGAACTGGCTGTAGTGGAAATGGAGAAGTAAACTCTGGAGGATTATAGATGTGTGATTCGTGTCTTGGCTCTTACAGTCCAGTCCATTTACATATTCGGTATGTTAGTGCTATATATTAACCCCCAAACAATAAAATAAAATAAAAAAAAAACAAATGCAAACCTCTAATTATAAACAGATACAGTTAAAGTAAAATCTCAAATATGACTTTTACTTGTAAAATTTTAGGTGGTGATGCTGACCTGGTGGGCTGTTTTCAGGGATTCCTTCTACTACATCCTGTCTGTCGTGGCTTTGATTGCAGTAAGTCGCAACATGCATTTATTGATGATCACCGACTGTTAACGTCTGCTTTGAATGTTTTTATGTAATCTAAAAGGTATGTTTCCCTCAATTTTTCAGTTCATTTATGACGAGAAGATAGTTTGGTAAGTTACTTCTTGAGTTTGGTGTATTTTACTTACTTTACTTCCAAAAGGAAAACACATGTTTTGTTTCATGACTGGGGAGCAAAAATCATACGTAACAAATACAGAACCAGGAGCCCATAATGGCCCTCAGCAAATTTTACATGGATGGCACTGTAATTGGCATTACTCTACACTGCTGTACTACAGTTGCAACTGATTTCCACTCATCTCGTAAGTGTAACTCATGGCCATTAACTAATCACAACAAAAGTAAAATTCAGGCTGTAAAGCGTCTGCAACTAGGAAATTTGTTCCCGGTTAGTTTAGGGTCAAGTATTGTTGGTTTCTGCTTGCAGATGTAATTTAATTTTTAAATTCCCAAGTAATCTTCTGATAATGCTCCCATACAATATTTCCAGCAGGCAGATACAGCCTGCCTGCTAGAAACATGACACACATACAGACTCAGACGCTAAAATATGCTAAGCTTTGTATGTGTCAAGACCATGCATTGTCCCTCTATCCCTCATCCTGTATTTTTCTCCTTCATCAGGTGGGAGAGTTTGGTGCTGGTCGTCATGTATGCCGGATACATCCTCGTCATGAAGTGAGTTCTGCATATTCTTAGAGTACAATCATTTTCTGCTTTACACTCTGACACACCAATGCTTACGATGAGTAGAACTGTGTTCCCCACAAGAGAACAGCTGGAGAGGAGTATCCCGTTCAGTCAACCCAGGAGCCTTCTGCTGGAAAACACTCGAGGCATTCGTTACAACAAAGTGCAGTTTTTAATGTGACACAGTGAAAATGCATTTTACTTCTCATTTGAAGCATCTTACAGTCAATAGTCTGGCATTGTAGTGGTTTAGTTTCAACAAATAACTCTAAATTTGCAGTTTATGAAGCTACATTTTTATTTCCAGAAGGATCAGAGTGTGTGTGTGTTTGTAGTCACTCTGCCCTGAGACTTCCTGTTGCTGACTTTTCACTGCAGACCTATCTGTCCACATTCAACATCAACCGACTCCATCAGGCCATGTTTGGGACTTTACAGTCCAAACTGAAAACCAACCACGTTGTCCTGTGCTGCTGTCTCTGTCCAGCTGGTAATCTGTGTTACACTCAGCAGCAGCCTGCTCTCTCCCTGCCATAAGAGTTTAATCTTTCTCCCTCTGCAGTGGCTAAGAGCACAGGCTTAAACGGATCACTCCTCTCCTTTCTCATTTGGAGGAAAGAAGTGCTTACTGTAGGATATGCTGTCATATGTCTCCCTTCTCCCAAAATATCTGCTGACCATTTTGGGCCGTTTCAGTCAAAATGGAGTAGAGTGGGTTTTATATAGCGCGATCAGTGCTCTAAGGTGACCTGTGATACTTTTTCTCTCCGAGAAGAGCACGCAAGCTGGCAGAGGAAAAATGTGATAAATGCTGAAATGATGGGGGGGGAAACAAATCAATAGAAATACTTTGAATGTCAAATCACGAGAATTAGTTTAAGATGTGCTTAATCAAGTGTACGACCGTGTATTAAAAATAGAACTAAGGGGCGGCCTGGTAGCTCAACCGGATAAGACGGCGTCTCATGAACAGGGCCTATAGTTGGAATCCCGCTCATGGCCCTTTGCTGCAGGTCTCTCCCCATTCTTCTCCCCTTTCCTGTCTCGCTTCACTGCTCTACTAAAAATAATAAAGGCAAAAAATAAATTTAAAAAAATTAATAGAATAGAACTAAGGAATTTCCTGTAGCATATCAAAACTGACAAATGCAGTCTTCATAACAATGTCTCAGCTTCTCTTCTTTTATCAAGCATCACTTTGGAAATAAGTCAGTGACTTTATTGTTCTTAGTATTTTGAAGATGCTTGCTATTTAATCTAGGTTTTTTTCGGACTATGTTAACTCATAGTGGTATTTGCTGAATAACTTTACAAGCTTTTCTTTAATAAGATAAAATCTTATTAACTGAAAGAAATTCTTTAAAGCTAAAAGCTGGCTAAAGTCTGTACTTGTGTTTAAAAGTGAATGCAGTGATGCCACACTACAGTATTTCACATGGATGAGTACTATGATGTTTGTTCTGATTTTTTTTATTTTATTTTACTGGACACTCATTGAAGGTTAAGGAAAAGTTTGTCCTATTTTATTTGTCAGTACCGTTTTCTTTTTTTTTGCTCGATAGTCTACAAAATACATCATCCTTTGTACTGTTTTATATTCTAAACTAAAATAATAGCACCGAATTCTGTTTTTTAAAGTGTAATCAAAGCCTTATTTTGGCTTTAATTATGGCCTCTGAAGGTATTGGGGAGACTGTGTAGCTCTTGTAATGCTGTGAACCTCTGCACACACGATGTTCAAAGGCAGCACCGGAGTTTTCAGTATTTGTGATCCATTTTTATGTAATGGCACCCAAATGGCCTCAACTGCAGGTCTGTGTGGCTGATGAAAGCCATGTGATTGCCTTCTCTGAACATTTTTTTTTTACTTTCTCTTCTCTTTCAACTCTAATGCACAGCAGCATATTAGCCATTTTTTTGTACATTGTAGCCTAATGCTGATGCTGTTTTTTAGAAACTAGGCCATCATAAATGCTAATTCTATAGAAGACATTAAACAGGTTCTTTTGGCTAATTAATGCATAATATATTTCAAACACGCCTTTTCTCTAAAGCTGGAAATGCAAATATGAATCTTGACACTGAATGTCCTATCTTGTTTGCTTTTTTAGACTCTAAGAAGAACTATTTCAGTGTCTCTAATTTAGGGATTATGTTCCATCTGTTTACTAGATTCAACTCCAGCATGCAGAAATTTTTCATGGGGAAGTCCAACAAAAACGTGGCCAATGGTAACGCGGCAGCCAGCAGTGAGATGGAGGACGGTAATACTAGCTATGACTATGTTTGGGATGACGACCCGTCATCACCTTTGCTCTCAACAGGTAAGGTTAATCAGACAGGCTGGCTCCCCATGGCTACATACTGCTAGGAAATTAATGAGCTGTTTCCATGAAATGGAACTAGATTATTTACTTTTGATTTTCTGGAAGACTGTGGGTGTGCCCTACTGTTAAAGATTCTGTGGCTTTAACCTTTGCTTCTTTCTGCTGAAGTAACATGAACTGCTTTGACTTAAACTGTTTTCCGCAGAAAAATTCCCTAAAGCAATTTAGTGAAACTTCTGCGTCTTTGTTAACACATGAGAAGGTCAATACTACTCTCATATGTTTCCCTTAAATATAGCTGCTGTGCTTAGCTTATCTCGTTGTACACTGCATAATGACAATAAAGGGCATTCATTCATTAGCATACAGACTGGAAACAAGGGGAAACAGCTAGCCAAAGATTTTAAAGAGATTTTAAAAATGGTAACATGTACAGTTGTGAACAAAAGTTTACATATACTTGTAAAGACAATGTATATAACAAAAGTTTTTAGTTTTCAATGACTTCTACAAGTCTTAAGTATCTATGAAGGAATCATTGAAACACATGCATCTTTGTCACAAAATTAATCATAATTTTGGTTCTTTCATAGATTTATTGTAGGTCTTCTAGAAATTAACATTAATAACTGTGCTTTTGGTAGCCGTCCACAAGCTCGTGGTTGTATCTTTGACCACTACTCTTGACATAATTGGTTCCGGTAAACTACCTTTGCTGACTTTCTGACACAGACTTGTTTCCTCAGCACAGTCCCTGCTTGATGGTGGGTTTGATTTTCTTGGGGTTAAAGGTCTCAGCTTCTGTCCCTAAATATATTTCTGGTCATTGTGGCCAAATAGCAAAATTTTGGTTTCGTCTGATAACCGAACTTTCCTCCAGAAGGCCTTTTCTTTGCCCATTTGATCGGCAGGAAACTTCAGTTGAGTTTTAACAGAAGCTTCTGGGCCCATGGTGATGTAAAACATACAACTGTTGACACTGACAGCTGTGTTCCAGTAGCTTCTAATTCATCAGACACCTGCTTTTTGGTGATTCTTGATTGACTCTTGACCATCCTGACCAATTGTCTCTCAGCAGAAGGTGATAGCTGGTGTTTTGTTTCTGATTGTAGCAGTGACACAACTGTGTCAAGTACTTTATGTACTTCCAAGCAATTGTTTGCACAGATGATTTGGCATCTGTAACTCCTTTCAAATGGCTCCAAGTGACATGGGTTTTTAATAATTCCATCACAGCGCATACAGAGTTATAGGAGTCTTTGGAAAGTCTGTGTATGTAAACTTTTGTTCATGACTGTAGATGGCAGATGAGAAGCACAAATCTGTATGAAATGCGTAACCAGTGGCAGACTTATGCCTGCAAACTACATCCAGCGAGTCGGATAATGAGAGTTGTATCAATCTTGTCATCTTACTGTCAGCAAGAAAGCAAATAAATACTTTTCCTAATAGTCAATAATTCTGTAGATGCACAAAGATCCAGAAAATGTCCTTTGATCTCAGTGAACTGCATTACCTGAAGAGACAGTTTGTCATATTTGTCTGTGACATTTTTCTTTTGGTAATTATAAAAGTCATATGTTTCTCTGTTCATTGTCTAAGCCTAAGCCCTGAAGCCTATCTGAGCATACAGGGGGCACAAAATGAAATGCTCTGTTTAAAATGGGAGCTCCATACTGACGATATCCTTTAATCTTTTCGGTAATGCAGTTTAATGTCAGGGGACTTGTTGTCTTAGGTCTCACTTATTAAAAACTTGTGGAAAAGTCTGTCTTTTTTAATTAACATCTTATAGCCACAGTTCTCCACTTCTTCCTCTCCCATCTTTGACTTTCTAAAGTTTCTAATCAGTGGCATTTAACCCTTCTAGTAAATGTCTTTTTTCCTACTTTGGCTCATTGTTAACATGCCTGTCTGTTTAGCCTTACTAAACTTATTCTTGCTTGTTGTCAACAGTGTTGTGCTGCTGTGTGCCAATTCTTTCTGCTTGCATACTGCTTCTCTTCTGCCAGTCTCTGGGGCGTAGACCCACTCATTCCTGAAGTGGTAATGAATTTCACAAGAGGAAATGTTGATGCCGGCTCTGTTTACACAGTTAATTTATGTGCATTGGTGCATGCATAATAAGTCAAATTAAGGCTAAGTTAAACTAATAAGTGTACTGTAGAACTCTTTTTATTCTCTATACACCACATCTTATAGCTAATTGCGAGCAAATGTTGAGTTATAGGGTGCCAATAAAGCATTGTAAAATGTATCTGAAACACACTTACATTTGTCAGCCACCTACATGACAGTTTGAGGGCACCAGTTTAAAGATGCCAGAGGTTGCATCTTCAGAGTCACAGATTTCAAAATGAATCTTGGTTGACCCAAAAATATTCACAACTGGTAGACAAACTTCAAAGCTGCAATTTAGGAAAGCTATTTGAAGTTGAGTACCAAAAAAATCATATCAACTGTGAACAACACCCTCATATTAACCAACCTAGCTTTTTTAGAAAAGGCATGAGGGGAGTGAAGCATCCAACACTGGAGTCAAAGGGGTTTTACATTCCTCCTTTCATCCACAAGCATTCTGTCTACCAAGTTACTTGCTGGTAGAAGCCGAATGAAGTCCAGCAGAGCAGGGATCATTTGGGACTGTTAATTTACTGCTCCATTTAAATTACATTGTTGTTGAAGTGGCCTAAATTTTCACTGTGACGTTTTTCTGAGCTCCTAGTTAGTTTGTAGCATGCAGCGACTTAATACAAATTCCTAGCAAAGGTCTATAGGTAGTGGAAAATGCTGTAACGTGCCAGCGAAGATACTAGCACCAAATGCAGTTATATGTAGCCTTCAAAGGCTAATCTTTTTCCATATTGTTACTTTCCAGAGAAAACTTACCCTGTTCTGTCATTGGTTATCATCAAAAGGGGGAGGAATTTTCTCAAAAAATAAAACATTGAATTAAGGTCCAAGTTAAGGAAAAAGTAAAAATCACCAAATTTGATACATGCTTTTCATGGTCTGCCCATTTGCAGAAAGTCAAACTACACTAATCTCAACATTTTGGGAAATACTAATATTAAACCTGCCCATAATGATAAGTTACAGTTTTTCTTTGAAGGATAAAACTGGAGTGTTCTTTATTGAGCAATGTGACCAAGAGTCACTTCCATCGTCCCTGTTGAGACAACAAGCATCATGAAGGTGTCAACATCATTTTCCATTTTATGTAGGAAAAGATGGAGTGGAGAGAAAGGAGAAATGGAATTTCAAAGCATTGGAAAATTTGGTCAGACAAGAAATTGACGCTAATGCTTGGGGCAGGTTTTGCTGGAGGTTTTGATTTGTGTCGGCAATAAACTGTCCTCATCCAGCTAACCTTGGGATTGAGGTATTGGTGCACATTGTTGCCATAAATACATTGCCTGGTGCAGCTTTAAAATGGTGACAGAATAGCTCTTTAGCATTGATTTATTTATTTTTTTTCTGAGACCTTAATGCTTAGACTACAAACTGACATTTGCGATATATATCATAAAGTCCATAATTTAATGGCTAAAACTGAAATTATACTTTGATATTGCAAACTTCTAGCTTGCATGGTGGGTTTCTGTAATAAGGAGTGTAACTGACAATCTAAGTTTTCCTTCAGTCAAGCCTAGCAAGGCCTACAGCCGTGGCTCAGTGGTGATGGTGGACGAGATCATGAACGCCAGCCCTTCAAAGTTTAGGTTTCCTGAGGCAGGCCTCCGTGTCATGGTCACCAGCCATTTTGGACCCAAGACCCGTCTGCGCATGGCCAGTCGTCTCATCATTACAGAGGTACAGAAGGCTGTTGTTGCTTCAGTGATTAGATTTAGGTGCTACAGCTACATATTAATACTTCTTAACATTGTAGACTCTTTAGGCTTTATGTTTCTGCTCTTAGTTTCTAAGAAGTGTTCAGAAGGCCTGAGGAAGTTCTTCTCACTTGAACACTTCACACTTTGTTTCTTTGACTGCAGAAAAAATGCGTTAAAAATGTTGTAGCAGCAAATCATCAAAGTAGCAGCACGTCTGCTCATGTGCTCTTTGACTTAGTTTCTTTTTTCTGAAAGCGCCAGAAGTTGGTGCAAGCTGCCAATGGCGTGGAGACACAAGTGATTGACGGGAAGGTTGAAATCGAGAATGGAAACGTTCCAGAGGACAAACCCACTGAGGCAGAAGAAAACGAAACTATCTCGCCGTTTCATATTCCAAGTATGTGATTCATGTATTCCCTGGATTGATGTTGTAGTTTGGCACACATGGCAGGATACTTTAGTTTAAAAAGATCTGATCTTGACCTATAAGTCATATTTCCAAATCTGTTATACATCCTCCTGTACGTCCTGATTTTAAGAACCTGGGGTGTTATTAGTGCTGTAAGAAGCTGGACAGTTTTGCTCAATCTGCTTGAGATATTCTTATCGCTTCAGTAGTTATTGATGTCCTCACTCAAATTAGTCAGTGGCTTCTCATAGACCAGCTAATGATCATCCACTTTGACAGCTCTGAGCAATGCTGCCCTTTTATCAGTCTGCTGCTGAAAAGACTCTTAATCTGATTAGTCAGAGGTTTTATGAAATGGTCACATTCATCTAAGGGTATGGAAGTGTTGTTGCCTTATATTAGGCTGTAACGTGTTGCTGTTTAAGGTGTTCTGTACAGTCTGCCCACTCACGTTTTACACCACAAAACAGGAGAATACCGTATGTATTAAAAGCTTTTGCAAAATAAATAAATAAAGCTTTGTGTGTGTGGCGATTGAGAGATGGGGCAACAATGTAAATGCGAACCATGGTTTGGACACAGTTGTCTTCTGTGTGACATGAAGTCCAAATGTTTTTGTAATGTTATGGCACTTTGCTGAAAATACAGCAGAAAAAGACATGTGGTTACACATTTGCAAACTCCCCATGTTAAGTGTTGGTATGGCATTAAACCTGTTCATCCATTTGGCTGTCAGAGCAACCGGTTATGTTGCACAGGGACCTTTTATTGCACATTTGTAGGAGTACACCATAAAGAATTCAAGGATGAGGGTGAAACAGAATAAAAACATTAGGCTCGCTTGAGATGAGTCAGACCTGCACAGATTTGATCGCCGATGATTGCTGCACAATGCTTGCTGGTTAGATTTCTGTCTGATGCTGATGTTGACTTGCTCTGACGACATGACTTAACGACAACATCATAAGATCAAGGTGATCAGGTGACGCAGTTACACTTCACCAAATGTGTGGCTTTAGGGCGTGGTGGGAAGCATCTGGCTGTCACCTGATCTAACAACTGGCTCAACAATATCGTCTTTGATAGAAATGGAATTCATCTGATTTTGTAAATATTCAATTAACAGAATCCATGTTGTGTCTGTGATGGTCAGACACTCAGAGCAGTCAAAACCTGCAGACAATATAATGTTCTAGTTTATTGTATGTTACCGTTGGACTGATTTAATTCCTCTACTACTTAGCAAATATACCAGTGAAAGCTGTTTAAATACATCTGTATGTTTCAGTAACTTCAAGTACAGACTGAAAGCTGCTGCTAACTGTCCAGTTTGGCTCCCAACTTTAAACTTTAAACCCTGCCCCCTGCTGCCGCCTGTTCTTGTCCTCTTTTCAGGCGAGGTGCAGTTTATGTGGAACAAATTGGCAAGAAAAAATTATGTAAAAAATGTCATTGGCACTCAAAGTAGAAGTGGCCATAGTGTCTGCTTAAGCAATCCAGTTGCTTAAACAATACATTTACCACACAATACATGATTGGAAACTAGGGGAAAAAAAAGTCTGACACAACTATCTGACCGTGCTGATCTCATGTGTTTTCGCTGCAGGGGGTATTGGCAGCAAGTTGAAGTGGCTGTTATCATGGCCTCTGCTTCTTTTGCTGTTCCTAACTGTCCCAAACTGTGCCAAGCCTCGCTGGGAGAAATACTTCATGGTCTCCTTCATCCTATCTACTGTCTGGATTGCGGTCTTCTCCTATTTGATGGTTTGGATGGTAAGTGTAATTGTTTGTATGCCAGAGATTCTGCTTTGCTAATTTGTGCTTTTTATGAGTAATGGCACTCTTCAGAGGACATTGATCCACCAGGCACGTTGAATTTCAAGTTGCCTGTAATTTGAAAATGGTTAGTTGGTTTCTAAATTGCACAAATTTATCAATCAAAAGGGTTAAACACTTTTAATTTCCAGCTTCTGAAATGTGTGAATTTAGTGGTTTGAGTTTTACTCCAAATTAAGTTACTTTGGCTTTTGGACTGTTGGGTGAACGAAACACATGTTCCAGTTCAAGTTATCTACAATGTCATTGTGACTAGCTGGAACTTAATTCAAGTTATTGTAAAAAGGATAATATAGTATTTTGAATTTAGGGGAATTAGCTATATCTTGAACTTAATTACAACTTGTTTTGATTGCTTATATCTGTAATGAGAAACGCATGAATGGTATGAGTGACGTCTCTTGTCCTGGAAGAATGACATTGTAAATATCTCAGAATGTTCTTTTGGACTTAGAAGAATTAAAATACGCATATTTTACTGGTCAGATCATAGACTGTAGAAAAGATGGACGTAGCTACCGTGACGTCAACTGTTGGTTTCTGCACTGAGAAAATGAAGCCAGGGTTTTGCTACTTCCTGGTTGACATCTTGGATTTTTGGAGCCAGTGATGCAAAAATCGTCTGAGGGGGGCGGAGCCATAGGAGCAGCAATTGGTCAGACGGATTGAGAGGCAGGCCCTCTCTGTCTGCCCGCATTTACCACCTTCTGCTCGCGTCGTCTGCATCGTCGCTGCCGACTGTCAATCAAGCCAGCCACGCCCCTTGCCCCGCAAAATTTTGACGATTTAAAAAAATAATAATAACTAGTATTGATTTATTTTCAGATTGGCCACCTGATCTCTGGATTTGACCATGAAAACTAATTTTAAAAAATCATGAGCTGTAGGAATGCGGTATTTCGTGATCTGTGATCACTTCTTTTCCAATTCATTTCTATGGGAGCCAGGGCTTTTTGGAGCCAGCAACTAGCGGACGTAGTGATATTGCAGGTTTTTGACACTTCCGGGTTGGCTTCATTTTTGCTACGTCCACCTTTTATACAGTCTATGGGTCAGATCAAGTTCATCTGTAGAATCCTGAAGCAGCTTGCCATAAAGATGCCATAAGCACAGATTTTGTTAAAAAAAAATAAAATAAAAAATTGCTATTGCAGTAGCATTGACAGCTCAGGCAGATTGTGTAACTTTGCAGGTGAAAAACTGAATCACCAAACAAAAGGGTCATGAAAGGAGCATTCAGATAGTGCTGCAATGGCATTTGGAGAGCAGATTACACATTCCTATTACAATATTTGTTTACAGATCTGATAAAGTTGTTGATATAGCCAACAAGGCGAGTTTACCTTTACCCAGAATATTTAACTGAAACCAATAATCTTGCTTCATCACGTGCTGAAATAAACAAGGGAGCCTAAAGCTTCATACTGTAGTTTGCCACTTTCAGAGTATTTAAATAGGATTTGAAATAAGAAGCTTTTGCGTTATTTTTGTTTTTTTTTTTTTCATCCAGGCTATTTTGAGCTCTGACACTGTATTCTTTCAGGTGACAATAATTGGCTACACTCTGGGAATCCCAGATGTCATCATGGGCATCACTTTCCTGGCAGCAGGCACCAGTGTCCCAGACTGCATAGCTAGTCTTATTGTGGCTCGGCAAGGTATAACTTTCTCTCTGGAACCTTTTTACATTGGGATTTTGTGGACTTGTGATTCAGCAGAAGCCAGATATGGATCTTATGATTACATGCTGCACATTTTCTACCCCTAGTCCCCCAGGATATCCCCATTTTATTCTTAAACTATGACTTCCCCTGAAGGTTGGCTGTGCAAGTCATCCGTATTTATATACACTACAGATATAGATACAGGGGCTGGTAATTTGAGCTGAATTTGCTGAACTTAAAGCTGAGAGATGAAAATAGAGAAATGCATTGAATTATCAAAGTATGGATTGTAGTCTATTTATGTGCAAATGGAGTTAGCAGTAGCTGTAACAGGTAAACTTGTAAATAGAGAACACTATGCATACAGATTCAGTTCAACTAAGTAAAGTTGTGCACTTGATTAGCTTTTGCACATCTTTTGCAGTGTAGAGCTAAATATGTGCCAGTTGTTTCCCGTGTTCATTTAAACAAATTGTGCAAGTAGGGATGTACAACTTCCAAAATAGTGCAGAGCTCCTAATAAATATTAGAATACAGGCCTGTATCACTACTTTCTGAGCTGAGCAGGGTTGGGGCCCTTGTGAAATATCAGAAGGTACAGAATAGCAGAGTAGTTAGAAATAAAGTGGTTCATCTCAGCAAAAGGATAACTGGATATATCCCTGCTAACTTTATTTGAACCTTGTTTTTTTTACAGGTTTGGGGGATATGGCGGTGTCCAACACGATTGGCAGTAATGTGTTTGATATTCTAGTGGGACTTGGAGTCCCCTGGGCGATACAGACCATGTGTGTCAGCTATGGATCAGAGGTGAGAGGCGAGTTCACTTTGCAAGAACCCAGACCGCCATGTGTTTGGATTGAGTATATGAATGTATGAACCAACAAAATTCAGCTGTGCCTCATGTCTGGGACCGAATAATGAGATTAAAGAGATAAATTGCTGATCTTATGTCCTTATGTATTTCAGGTGATGATTAACAGTCGGGGGCTGGTGTACTCAGTGGTGCTTCTGCTGGGCTCTGTGGCCCTAACGGTGAGCATATATTAACAATAGTTTGATGTTTATACTACACCAATGCTAGATAACCTACTGTACTGTTGTAGTGCAACATAAATGTTCAAAGTAAGAACCCAGAAATTTTGTGCATGATGCAGCATTGCTGTTTGGCTACTCTTATCACTGTTACACAATAGTAACTGAAGCAGACTGTAACTGGTCTCCTGCTGCATTCCATAACAGACTCAAATGTGTGACACTAAAATCATCAAAACGATTCTTTGTTGGTCTTCAGACTTAAAGTCAGAAAGTTGGACACAATTCTGTGCAGAAATATCATGTGCGTTATCTTATGTCATTTCCCACCTTGGTAGCTCAGTAGTGGCCCATTTTCTACTTCTTATCCCCACGTTCAACTGGAACTACAGTTGGGCAACAAAATAAAGCCAGAGGAGCTTTAGTGATCCTTGCCATTGTTTCTCTACGTTTTTTGGAACTCTGCTGGATGGATTTACTTTGTTCTTTCAACAGATATTTCCTCATTTGATGTTTTGATGTTGGTGCTAAAGAGTGCTGTCCAACACATAGTGACCCCTTGTATCCCAAGGATAGAGGCACTGCCACGAACATCAGTCTTGAAATGTTTCATCATAGGTTGAAGGTGGTCAGTGGTTGAACAAAGACATAAGTGCCAGCTACAGCACGTAGTTATTTCAGCTTTGAAACATAACTTCTCCTGCTGCCTTAAAACTGTGAGATAACTGCATTCTGATTAAGTCATCAGTTCAGTCATCTTTTGAGTTGTGAAAGTGTAAAACTAAGCATTAAATTAACTTAGTTAAACAGGTTCAATCAACGTCAGTCAGTTGAATCAAGTAGTCTCATAGACAATGGTTAGAGACAGACTTGCTTAGCTTTTATTTTTTCTGAGTTTAAATAGTTAGTTCTTTATTTAGCATTGAGAACCTCTGGCATCAGCCGCTGAAGTCATGTTTGACCAGAATTGGTACAAAAACAACCTGTGAGGCTGCTCCCAGTTATACTGAGATAAATTTTAAGACTACAGGTGCAGGGATTGAATTCAGTACTAATCTTTGTCATTATTTGGGAAATTACTGAAAGAAACAACCATAGCTTAATTCAATACGTAGTGAAGAAACTCAGCAAGTTTCCACCATGTCTGTTTTCTCAAACTACTAAAAGCAAAAGTCCCTGGGGAATTGCAACTCTCCAATAATGCATCCTGGGAAATCTGCCTACATCCTGTTTTTTTTAAATAAATGTAATTAAATGAATTGCGTAAACTCTCAATTGTTGATTCATTCAGGTCCTTATTTTAAGTCAAAATACCTCAGGTTATAAGATGTTTTTAAGTTCCAAAGTGGTCTGAAAATATAACGAGACATTTTAAGTTTATTTCAATAGAAATGAGCAAAAACTTGTATATTTCCATTAAGTAAACCTGAAAAGACAAGCTGTGGTGGAACCAGTGACAGAAGATGGACATGGTATAGATTAGCTGTACGATTATGCTCTGTGTAAATACATATATATATCTGTCTTGTGTACAGTCTTGGGTGTACAGTGCACAATATAACAATTTCAATAACAAATATTTTTGCAAGCACATAAATTATCATGTAGCTTTATTTTAATGAAAAACTATCACACTTTGACGCAAAGAAAATAGAAGTATCAAATTGAAAAATGGTTAAATCCATTTTTCCTTTGGTATTTCCTTTTAAGCCTTTTTTGTTTTTAATATTGAGCAACAGGGAATAACGCAGTCTTGAGAGGACTGTCAGTGTGTGTCTGAGGTGTTTAGGACCAAATACAACAACCTCAGTTTTGTCTGAATTTAAATGAAGGAAATTACAAGTCCTCCAGGCCTTTGTCCTTCAGACATGTCTGGAGTTTGACTAGCTGATTGCTTTCATTTTGGTTTATAGATAAATAGAACTAGGTGTCATCTGTATAACAATAGAAATTTACACAGTGCTTCCTAATAATATTGCCTAACAGGAGCATGTACAAAGTAAATTGTATTGGTCCTTACACAAAACTTAAAACTTTGGTGTAAGTGAAAGAATCATCATTAACGTGAACAAACTAGAATCTGTCTGATAAATATGATTTAAACCAGTTTAGTGCAGTTCCTTCAATTCTAATAACATGTCCCAGTCTCTGTAATAAGATGCTGTGATCAACTGTATTAAATGCAGTATTGAGGTCCAGCAGAAAAAGTACAGAAACTAGTCCACTGTTTAAGGCTATTAGAAGATCATTAGAGACTTCCACCAGTGTTGTTTCTGTATTATGATGCATTCTAAATCCTGACTGAAACTCTTTAAACAAACCACTTCTGTGCCAATGGTCACATAATTGACTTGCAACAGCTTTTTCAAGAATTTTAGAAATAAAAAGGAGAGTTAGATATGGGTCTATAGTTGGCTAAAACACATGGATCTAGAGTAAGCTTTTTGAGAAGCTGTTTTAAAAGCCTGCAGTATGTAGCAGGTTACTATGGAGAACTTGATGATGTCTAATTCTGTAGTGCTAATTGAAGGAAAGGTGTCCTTGAACATTCTGGTGGGGATGGGGTCTAACAGACATGTTGCTGGTTTAGAAGAAGAATTGACTATCGATGAGAAAACTACAACTAAATGGACTGCTGACCATGATATGTTTGGTTAGCCAGCCAACTCGCCTGACTTGAAGCCCATAGAACCTCAAATGGGGTATTGTTGAGGAAGATGAGAAACGCCCAACCAAAAATACAGATGAGCAGAAGGCCTCTATACACCAATAACACCTCAGCAGTGCCACAGGCTCATCATCTCTATGCCACACTGCATTGATGCAGTAAAGGAGCCCCAAACATCCTTTTTTTTTGTTATTTAAATTGACTTTAGGATATATTCTAGTAATTTGGAATTCTTGATTTCAGATTTTCATGAGATTTTAGTCAGAACAAGCACAATTCTAACAAAAAAAGACTTGAAATATATAATTTAACTCTGACTTTTTTGGGTTGCGCTGGTGTCGTGACGAGCCACTCTGCTGTTTGTGTGTGCAGGTGCTGGGGATTCACCTGAACAAGTGGCGGCTGGATGTGAAGCTCGGTATTTACGTCCTCATCCTGTATGCAGTTTTCCTCTGCTTCTCCATCATGATAGAATACAACGTCTTCACTTTTGTCAACCTGCCCATGTGCATGGAGGAGTAGAGCACAGCAGCATGCCTCGAATACCAAAACCTCAACGCTCCCATGGCAACCCTCGGTTTTTTTCTTCAATAATAATGGACCTATCTGCAGACTGTTTTTCTCCTCCCTTCCACTCTATTCTTTGTAATCCTTTCGTTCCAAATATGAATCCAATTTCTTTGTGAGGCGGTACGCTGCAAGTGTGGACTCCATTCAATGTCTCTAATTTGTCCCCTGGCAACACAGTGCCGGTCCTTAATGCCCATTATTTTGGGCATTGCCTATTACTGCAGTAAAGTCTTTAGTTCCTCCTTGCGCCTGTTAACTTTCTACCCATCTAGCATGCCTTTAAATGTTGGGGACCTCCAGAATCAAAAGTGCCCCTGTTGATTGTTGGTGTGTTTTTACTGTTCACATTGTAGATTTCCACACACCTTTTCAAAAGGCTTTCCACAAACCAAACCAGAGCCTGTCAAGAGAAAAAACCTACCAAAAACTCTTATTCTCATCAAAACCCTCACATAGAGATAACCCTCCTTAATGTCATTCCTGAAAGAATCACCAAGTTACCCCAGTGCCCAAAGAAACAAGTACACTCCTTTTTCCCCTTTTGACCCCCCCTGTAAGAGGGTCTTGTCCTTGGCAGCTCTTCTTCTCTTGCTTGGACCTGACTCCCCTGGCATGGCCTTTGGCATCAGGGGGCAGACACTGTTAGTGCTTCATTTCAATCACCCTGTGCAACTGCTGACCCTCATCTGTTTCATCAACTCTGCTTTGTTTTCTTTAAGAAAAATGACCTTTTTTCAGGACATTTAGTGTCAAGATGTGTCACAGTCCACATCAGTTGACTGTGAGAGTGTTATGCATATGCAGCACTGCACAATGTAAATTTGTAAACACTTTTTTTAAATTTATTTTTTCAAAACAAGGTTTTGTCTAGTATGAAATATGGAGTAGAACTTATATAAATATCAGACATTGCTTGTTTTTCACTGAAACAAATTGCACATGGAAATGCTTTTCTTGCTTTGTGCTGTAAGGAGATTTGACCACTGAGAGGGGTATGTGGCTGATGATGGCGATTCCACTGCGGTAATTTTTTTGTTCAGCAAAAGGTCATTCCATTTGTCCCTCTGCACAAGTTCAGAAAAAAAATACTGGCTCCACATCTGTGGGATGCATCTAATCTTTCTCATCATCAGGTGACTTGTTCTCACTTTGAGACAGCAGCATCACAAAGGTAGTTGTTCAAAAAATGCAAAGAAACCAGACGGTTTTCAACACTGACTGCTTTAACACTCTCTGGCCAGTAGGGGCTACTGCAGCTCCTCGAGCCGGGGCAGGGTGGCGACACAGCCGTCGGTTATCAGGGAAACTCGAAGATGGACAACTCCAAGAGGTGGAGATGGTGATGATCTCTTGATCTTGAGTTACATGTAGATATTGCACTTTAACAGCCGTCCTCTCATTCTGAATCAACTAGTGCTTCCTTCTGTGCGTGTGTATTTTCAGTGTATATGTGTCCGTGTGACTGTATGTGTGTGCAAGAGATCATTGTGTGCGTTTGTACGTGCTCAGTGTGGGCCCACACTACGATTCTCACTCTGGGCTCTGGACTGTCAAACAGACTGAAACAACATGAGCACACCCGCCTCTTGTCTGCAGTGCATGCTGGGACTTTAAACGCAGCTCCTCCACAGCACAGCAAAAGCTGTGGGCTTCTGGGCGTCCCAATGAATACCGCCCCACCCACTTTACAAAAATCGGCAGCTACGAGCTACACTGCAATCCAGACATTTTGACATCATGCAAAAATGCCTGTGAGGAGTCCACAACATGAGTTGAGAGACTAAAAACGAACATGTGTGGAGAGTGTTTAATTGTTGAAAATATTCCTGTGCCACACCGCTGGCAGCAGGCACTTGTATATGCAATCATCAGTGTAAAGAATTTGTGACAGAAGGCCCCTGCAAGGTTGCCATATAAAGGCAGGGGATCCCGTGGAGATGTGATGTCAGTTTGTCTAGTAGTACTTAATGTGTGAGCTCACAGGTGTGTGTTTGTGACAGCTGAGGAACTGGGTGCAAAGGATGGACGTTTTTCTGGAGCAGAGGCTTTGATGGATGTCTGATTTCTCCTCCTACACACACACTCCTGTTTCATCGCTCTCTACTCTTGCACAAGGGCATTAACTGTTCACCACCCGAGCAGAGGGGCAGCACGGAAGGCAGGGTGGATGAATGGATGGCTTTCCTCATCTACCCGCAAGACTTTTTTTCTTTTTTTCAAAAGTCCTGGGTGATGGCAGACTAACAATTCAAAAAAAAAGAAAAAAAAAAAAGTCAGACCCCCTTAGAGCTGCTTAAACTCTGTCCAGTAAAAACAGTGATTTAAGTCTGTGCTTATTGGATAGAGGTGACCACACAGGGCCCACAGACTTCTTCAAACACCCTCTGAGACCCTCATACAACACCCATCCTCCAACTCAATTTTTTCAGTGGGACTTCTGTACATACATGGCCTACATTTTTGCTTTCTGTGAAGAAGGCATGTCTGTACTGTACTTGAGTTGATTCAAAATGTGCAGTGTTAAGGTTTTTGTGTGTATTTATGTCGTTGCTCTGTGTGGTCATGTCATGGTTGCTAGGCTGAAATGGTTCCACCACAGGAGAGGTTAAACACTGCTCCTCTTTTGGCACACAGAAGGAAGCGCATAGCGTCCGTTCTCACCAATTGTCTGACTCGCATCTTTGTGACTAAGTCACTTCTTTTGGAAGAGGAAAAAAAAAAAAACATAGACGTCTGATGCCATACTTGTTGTAGCTCTGCATCAATCCAGATTGTATGGAAATCCTGTGTACAAAATAAGCGCACACACTTTAGAACAAACACACAGAAATGGCAATTTAACCCGAAAGGACTGGTATGTATTTCTTTATTGAATGCGACCTGATGCACTGTGAGCTCAATGTGATGTGGGAGTTGTTTGTCAAGAATAATAAATGATGAAAAAAAATATATTTAATGTAAAGTTAATGACTATAAAACATTACTGAGGACATCTGTATAACTTATATGAATGTATTGTCTTGCTATACTGGACATATCCAACCAATGCATTTTACTGTAAAGCAATAATGTGAAGAAAAAAAATAAAATGGCAAAATAATTCCTGTACATTTGTCTCATAAGTTCTTGGATTGTTTGTGAAATACATGAATAAATGAAGCCATTTGTACATGTACTTTTTGATTCTGCTGTTTATTTCCTCTAGCATGGGCTCATAAGGTTTGAAATGATTAAAAAGGGCATTTTGCCAACTATTTTTAATGTGGTAGACAGTAACTTAAGAATAGTACCAAAGTAGATTTTTGAAGTACTTGTTTTCCTGTTTTGCTTTTTGCTAATTCTTTTCTCATGTGACCCCTTGTAGGAACGCACAGTGTATGCAGTGCTTATCTTATCACAATTTAGGCCCAAAGAGGAAAAGTTCAAATTTCCAAAATGCTCCCAAAATACACGTAGCAGACGAATGTTTTACCATCCATCCTCGCCCAGGGATAATTTAAAAACCCCTCAAGTGTGTTTATATACCTTGAATGGGACATCGTACATGTTGATGCACTACAACAGTAAAAGACTGTTTAAATTCATACATCAGTATTAATAATTTAGCAGTGTAATTTAAAATATCAGTTATAGTGGACATTTTTCTGCAGAGTTCTACTTTTTTAAAGATATTTTTGGGGCTTTTCTGCCTTTAATATAGGACAGTGAAAGAATGACAGAGAAACACAGGGAGAAGCATGGGGAAAGGACATGCAGCAAATGACTCGCTGGCTGGAATCAAACCACGACCGCAGCAGGGACTATAGCCCTGTACATGGGTCGCCTGCCCAACCTGTTGAGCTATCCAGGTGCCCCAGAGTTCTTTGACTTTTAACACCTACATTCTCTTTAAAGGTTGCATTTCAATGCAATATTTCTACTTGTAAGGGACTACATTAATGAAGCGGAACAATGTTTAAGGTTTTTTCTTTGGACAGCTGTAGGTGCTTTGCAGATTAGGGAATTTACATTTAAAACATATGATCAGCTTGTCAAGTAGTACTTTTCACCCTCATCCACTGGATAAAAGCTATCCTTCTTGTCATAGATTTACAGATATTTGCTTGAATTTGCCCTGATGACTGAACTTTTATTTTCTGAAAGATTGCAGAATAACATATTAATGCATTTGCTGTTCTGCTCCTGCTAGTTCTTGTCCAGAAACATTTTTTTTTCTTTAATTCATTCTAATTTCTTGTAAGATTTAATTAACTGAAGTGACAACGCTGGAGGACAACTTCAGACTTGCTGACTCAGTCCAGTTTTTTCTTTAAACCAAAAGCCAAATTAATCAGTCCAGCTTCAAGAGTTTTGATACACAGTAAGCAGTTTAAGATATGAAATGAATCTTTCTAGGTGAAACAACCTTAAGGTAAATTTAATGAGTTTGATGTACTCCTTATGGCTACGTTGTTGGTGCTTTGTTGTACCAGCAGTGATTAAAGTTTTCTTTTCAGGAAAAGTAGTTTATCTACCCTTTTTAAAACTCTAATATATTCTGGTCGTATCACTCTGGCTGGACTGCAAACTCAATTTTTTCATTTTGCTTGCATTGCTTTTCTTCAGTGCGGAATTCACTTTTTTTTAATTAAGCTCCAGCATCTTCCAATCAAATCAGCAGTGGGTAAATTCACACTCAGCCAGGGCCCAAAGTAATACCATGCAACAATGCCTTTAATTCTGGGATATATGTGAGATTAGATAGCAAATAAACCATCTGCCATTCGGTTGAAGCATCACTGAGAATATTCAATTGAATAAATCCCACTTATGATTTAGCTGTGGCTGCAGCAACTATTTCTCCAGGAGTGAATGATGAGTCATGGTTTATTGATCTTACTGGAAACTTGTCTTGTGTGATAATCAGGCTGTAGAGCTGTGTTTATCAAGACAAGGTGATTGCATACAATTTGTTATTTTTACTGATGGCTGGTAACACATGAAGAGCCCATTGAGGGGTGAGTGATGTGAAAATTCACGTTTTGATGGCATCATGCCTCCATTAGCCTGGACTTCCAGTTAGTAGCACCAGTAGGGGGCAATGTCGCAACAGGATTCATAACCCAGTGTCGTCAACAAACTTTGTTGCAGCTCAGGATGAACTGCTATGGAGGTTTTTCACCCAAGTGAATAAGATTCTTGTACTCTGTGATCCAAAGTTTAAAATATCAAAGCGTGGCAAAGTCAAATCCTGAGTGGAATAAATGTCTTCTGTATGGTTTCATGCACACTAAAACATACAGCACATAATTTGTTAATGATCGATGTCCATGCAGTTCATCAACGAGACAGGCAACCATCTGGGTTGGTGCAGGCTACTGGTGCTTCTCCCTAATGAGCCACCCTCATGGCTACCATGCTGCAGTTAACAAGCTTCTCTGTCAGCTGTGATCTTGTGCACTGATGAGTTTCTTCTCTGCCCCCTAACAAGCCCGTTTGGGCAGCTACTGCATGTCTCCTGTGAACGCTGGCTTAGCTCTCCTCCACCATTTGTTGTGCCACATTTAGACAAGGCCCACACATCCTGCCCTTGACATATACAGCACTGTAATCCTGCTTTGAAAAGTTGTTTATCTGTTCAGCCACCACCTCCACAGTTATAGTTTGGGGACATTTTCTTTCCTTGTTTGTGCCTTGCCAGTATTTTTGACACCACTTTGCTGTTTGGGTAAATTGCTGTGCTGTAGTGATGGATGGTGAGCAAACTGGGTTGCTGCAGCTTGCTGCAGTCCTTCATAATCATCTGGTGCTGCAAAACACAAGGTGTTGTGGGTTGCATCCTTAACTATTGGCTTGTTTTGGATTCCTCAGTGGACTTGTAGAATCAGCAGATGACATTTGGCTATGTGTTTTTGCTTAAAGTGTTCGTGCACCCAAATGACACACAAGGTTTTCCTCAACTTCATAGTGTGATGTAGCAGTCATGCTGATAGCATTGGCTTTATTTGTCCAGGTTTTGAAAGATCATCTCTGATATTCTGTCTCTGTGCCTGCAGTAGCATCTCTTCACTTATCTCTCACCACTCTCACCTATTGTCATAGTCCTATTTACAAAAAAAATCCTGATCAAAACATGACTAGTATTTTATCAAGAAACATGTAGTATCTCCCTGTTTGGGATCATGTTGCTGTTGACTGTCATTTGACTGACCTCCGTTTGTTAGGCTGGTGACATGTGACTCTAAAAGCTTTCGTTTCTGCACACGACTGCAGCAAAGACCGTAGACCATGAGGATCCAAGCAAAGTAAGATTTACAAGGGATCTTAAGTCATTGATAGTATGTTGTAGTACATACTTTAATTTGTGTACATTCAGATCTTTTTTTAAAGACAGTTTTGTGATGTGTACTCTCATACTGGTCTTGTCATGTGTGCGGAATTCTGTTGGTTTTCCTGACTTTGTCACTCGCACTTATTCCTTGACTAACCCATGTCCCTGTCAGTCAGTCACAACACTAAAAATCCATGGTTGGGTCAATTCAAATCTGAAAGCTAACAGTCCACAGTCCTTAGTTGTTCATTTCTATGGTGCTCCATTAGCACCATGTGACCTTTCCCTGGTATTTAAACCATCTGTAAACTTTACAACTCGATAAAATTAAAATAAACTGAATATTAATGAGGACAGTGACATTATCAGTGTAACATGCGGTCACTGGCTATTTAGGGTCTTTCATATTTTAGCAACCCACTGTATAATTAAGCCACTTTTAAGATAGCCCAAAAATCAAACTATAAACTCAGAGGACAGTCAGCCATATCCACAACTAACAGCAAGACTTTCTACCACTCTGCACGCTCAGCTTTCATTTATGCTTATCTGTTTATGACAGCTCCCACAGTCTGTTCCCCTGTGCATTGTGGCTCAGTGATTAATCCATTCTGCACATGCTGTACAGTTCATGAAGGTAACACAATACACTCTTATCTATGTATGTATGAATATTAAGTAGTTGGGCCCGGTGAAGCCTGTAGTGTGCAATGAAGACTGATAGTTCTGATAGAACCATGTGGAAAAATCAGCTAATGATGAGTCATGCACTGAACCCTTTTAATCAAGGTTAGAGTCAGGATGTGTAGTGTAGTATAGATCACTAAGTGTTATGGACCTTTGTTGGGCCATTCCACTGACATTTATCATTACAGAACACATTAGTGTTGGAAACAGCCCAAGGTTTGCATTTACAGGCTGAAATATAGATTGTTATAGAACCAAGTATAATGTTAAATTAAAGCAGTAACAGTGATTCTTGTTTTAATTAATTTCATTTGGTCTCTCTTTTTTTGCTTTTTTCCCCCTTCTCATTGCTCTTGCATCTCCGTCACATTTAAAAAAATAAAAAATAAAATATATATTTAAAATGTGATACATTTGCACATCATTTGTATGTGGCCTAATGCTACACCATCTCCACGGTGCTCAGCTCCACATTGCTACAGCAGTGTTCGACTTGTGCTAATTGCTTGCTCCTGAATCCACTGATTGATTATGTGCTGCATCATAATTATTGTTTTTTTTCGCCACGTAGTGCAGTGCAATAGCCTGTAAATACAACAATGACATGTTCGCCACATAAAGATGGTATCGCACACATGTCAGCCAATAGAGAAGCAACATTAGCATTCATTTAGAGTTGCCTTTCTGGCCACATGAAATGTCAAGTGGTTCAATATCCACTGTAATTTTAACTTAGTTTTGGTTTCCATGAACTCCTGAGAGAAATACCTCTCTGCAGCAAAATGCCCTGTGTGCTTACAGAGTGGCGTTAGAGAGTAGATTTTTGTAGGAAGGCTCTGTGCCCATTCAGCATGAGGGGGCATGTACTCCCCCTAATTTTTGAGGTTGGTTTACTACAGAAATTGCTACAATGTTGTAATGATTAAATTTAAAATCCAAAGGTGGGTACACCCTGTGCTGATATTAATTAAATGTCAAATACGTCTAACTTTCATCAACAGCAAAGTATTTGCTTTGATGCCAAATTAAAAAAGAACACGTCATCCCTCTATCCTTCCATTATTTGTGCACCGCTTAACCCTACAATTAGAATCACCAATTAACCTCAACATGTTTTTGTACGGGCAGCAAGGTGGCTCGGTGGTTAGCACTGTTGCCTCGCAGCAAGAAGGTCGCCA